GGGTTGCAACCCCAGTCCCAGAACCCCCGTTCCCAGCCCTGGCGGGGCCCTTCCGGACTCACCTTCCCGAGGCTTGCCCGGGGCGCAGGCCCACCGTCCCGGGCTCCCGGCCTAGGCAGGGCCTGCCCTTTCCATATGCGCTTCCTGGCAAGCCAAGGCGAGGGCTGGCTCTTCCCCGGACGCCGGGACTGCTGGAGGGAGCATGCATCACCCCGCCCCGCTGGTCCCACCGCGCGCTGACAACTTACCTGGAAGCCAAGGCCCGGAGTCCGGAAGGCCGCGCACGAGGACCGCAGGAAGGACGGAGCCCTCTCACCACCGCAAGCGCTCGCCTTCCGAGTTATCTCACTAGGCTCTCTCGGTGATTGGCTCATCTCCATAGACTCTCGAGCGGTGATTGGTAAGCCTACCTATAGAGGGCGGGGATTGGGGTTGCGCATGCTCCCTGGTCCCGGTAGCGGGAAGCACGTGAGGCGACTCGGCCCGGGCGCCGGTTGGCGACTCGAAGATCCACGTCAGGCCGCCGGCTAGTTGGAAAGCTTCCCACCACCCTCTCCCCAGACTCCCAGTAGCTCTGCCTGCGGGGTAGGTAGGAGGAGGGTGGGTCGTGAGAGAACTGCGGCCTGGACGGTCTGCATCTCCATGGTGAGCGGGTGGGGTCCCTCCTCTCTTTCCCCGGATGTGGCCGGCTGCCGGCCCAGGCTCCCGGGGCCTCGGCTGGGAAAGCGGCCGGGGAGGCCGACGGGGTCGCGGGGAGCAGGGAGGGGCGGGCGGTAGAACGACCCGAGGCACACGCCTGTAATCTCAGCTACTCTGGGAACGTGAGATCTGAGGATCTAAGTTCGAAGACGCCCCGGGGCAGGAATGAGACACTTACCTCCAGTTAACCACCCTGAAGTCCGGAGTGGAGCTGGCTCCAGCGGTGGAGGGCCGGCCTTGTGCTGTAGAGCTCAGGGCCGGCGCCGCGCTCGGGGTCAAGCCCTGGGGTCAAGCCCTGAGGCCAAGCCCTGGGCCTGCGCACGCTTGCAGATTTGAAATTTCAGGATGGCTGGAAACAGATCAGCTCTTTCCATACCTTTAAGAGATCTAGGGGCTGGAGCCATGGCTCAAGTGGTAAAGTGACTGTTGTCTGTGTTTGCCCTGTATATTGAATAAAAGTGGCTTGAGATAGAAACTCTTTTATTTTTAGGGTATAATTAAACAGTTTGGCCTCCCTACTTGATAAAAAACCTAATTAACATAGCCTAATTAGGGCTGGGAAGTTGGCTCAGTGGTAGAGCGCTTGCCTTGCATGCATGAGGCCCTGGGTTCGATTCCTCAGCACCACATAAGCAAAAAGAAAAAAGCCGGAAGTGGTGCTGTGGCTCAAGTGGTAGAGCGCTAGCCTTGAGCTGAAGAGCTGAGGGACAACGCCAAGGCCCAGAGTTCAGGCCCCACAACCGAACCCCCCCCCCCCCCCCAAAATAGCCTAATTAACATAATGATGGTTGCACATTAAGTTCTTTTAGACCGGTGTGAGGTTTTCTGTTGTCCTTGTCCTGTTCCAAGTGGTACTGGGACTTGAACTTGGCCTGGGGTTGGGAAGGAAAAACTGGGAGAGAGGGAGGGAAAGGATGACAGGTCCAAAAAGAAATGTACTCAAGCTGAGCGCTGGTGGCTCACGCCTGTAATCCTAGCTACTCAAGAGGCAGAGATCTGAGTATCCTGGTTCAAAGCCAGCCGGGGCAAGAACGTCCTTGAGACTTATCTCCAATAAACCACTCGGAAAACTGGAAGTGGTGCTGTGGCTCAAGTGGTAGAGTGCTAGTCTTGAGCTGAAGAACTGTGGGACAGTGCCCAGGCCAGCGTTCAAGCCCCATGACCGACAAAAAAAAAAAAAAGAAAAAGAAAAAGAATGTACTCATTACTTGACTTACTTAACTATAACCCCTCTGTATATCACCTTTAAAGTAACAATTTTTTTTGTAGGGGGTGGGAGGTCCGGTCGTGGGGCCTGAACTCTGGGCCTGGGCACTGTCCTTCAGCTCTTCAGCTCAAGGCTAGCGCTCTACCACTTGAGCCACAGCGCCACTTCCGGCTTTTTTCTTTTTGCTTATGTGGTGCTGAGGAATTGAACCCAGGGCCTCATGCTTGCAAGGCAAGCACTCTACCACTGAGCCACCTTCCCAGCCCTAAAATAACAATTTTTAAAAGAATTAAAAAATTAAATACACTTAATGGAAAATAACCCACGAATATCAAATCATAGAAACATTTAAGTTTTTTTTTTTTTTTGGTCCGGTTGTGGGGCCTGAACTCTGGGCCTGGGCGCTGTCCCTCAGCTCTTCAGCTCAAGGCTAGTGCCCTACCACTTGAGCCACAGCGCCACTTCTGGCTTTTTTCTTTTTGCTTATGTGGTGCTGAGGAATCGAACCCAGGGCCTCAGGCATGCAAGGCAAACGCTCTACCACTGAGCCAACTTCCCAGCCCGAAACATTTAAGTTTAAAGCATGCAGAGTTAGACAACTTGTCTGGTCTCCCATCCATCTCTCTAGTGAAAATAGGACTCTTGAGCTGGTGGTAGAGTACTTGCCTAGCAAGCATGAAGCCAATCCCCACCACCACCAAAAACAAAACCCCCAAAACATCCATCTGAACTCATATACGCATATAGATGAATATTTTGTTTTGCCTAGGATTTAGTCTGGTATGCCACTTTTTGCAGATGTGTCATTCATTGTCTTTTAGTTTTGACAGACTTTGAGAGGATCTTTGTCCTTGATGTGGTCATTTTGAAATAACCAGATCTGCAAAAATAGATATGTATGAAGGCTGAGTCTTAAATACCTCAATTAAAAGGAACAAACAGTGGAAATAGAGATAAATAGTACAAACATTCTAATACGTTCTCTAAGCATTTCTCGTATAAAAGACAAGAAAAACTCAAATCATAGGGGATTTTATTGAGTAATTGCTGAAGTTGTAGGAACGGAAATATAGGACCAATTAATTACATAGCAAACCTGTTTGTTTCATTGTTGATTTTGGTTTTGGTTTTTGGTGCCTGTCGTGGGGCTGGAACTCAGAAACTCAGGCTCTGAGTTTCTTTTGCCAAAGTATAATAGAACTCTACCACTTGAGCCACAGCTCTACTTCTGGCTTTTTTGTTAGTTAATTGGAGATAAGAGTCTCAAGGATTTTGCCTGAACTGGCTCTGAACCTCAGTCCTGTCTCAGTCTCCTAAGTAGCTAGGATTGGAGGCCTGAGCCACTAGCACTCTGCACAAAACTGATTCCCCCCCTCCCCCCATCATGGGGCATGAACTCTGGGCCTAGGCACTGTCCCTTAGCTCTTCAGCTCAAGGCAAGCTCTTTACCACTTGAGCCACAGCTCTTTACCACTTGAGCCATAGTACTTCCTGTTTTCTGATGGCTTATTGGAGGTAAGAGTCTCATGGACTTTCTATCCCGGCTGGCTTTGAACTGTTATCCTCAGATCTGTCTCCTGAGTAGCTAGGATTACAGGTGTGAGCCGCTGACACCTGGCTCAAGCCTGGTTTTTAACTGTTCTTTTTGTAAATTTGTGCTTTAAATAAAATTAGGACCGTATTGCATGAGCTTATCTGAACTGTATAAAGTTTTTTTTTTATATAAGATATACAAATGAATACATGTTTGGGGCAAATATAATTCACAATAGCTTATATTTCTACTCAGAGGCACTAATGGAAAGTAATCAAAATTTATCTAGAAAATATTCTACAATTTCAACAATAATATCTAATGACTATGTAAGGCATTTTATCAAAACTTTTTGTTGTTTTGGTTGGTTGTAGCATTTGAACTCTGGGCCTGGGCGCTGTCTTTGAGCTCTTCAGCTCAAGGCTAGTGTTCTACCACTTTGAGCCAGAGTGCTACTTCCTCAAACATCTTTTGTGTGTAGATTTAACTACAATATTAAAAATTATAATATTTATATAAGCACCTTCTATTTAAAAAAAACACACAATTTTTTTCCTTTTGATGCCAGTCCTGGGGCTTGAACTCAGGGCCTAGGCACTGTCCCTGAGCTTCTTTTGCTCAGGGCTAGTGCTGTATCACTTGAGCCACAACACCATTCCGTAGTTTATTGTAGTTAAGAGTCTCATGGACTTTCCTGCCTGGGCTGGCTTCAAACTTTGATCCTCAGATCTCAGCCTCCTAAATAGCTAGGCAGGGGTGAGTCACTGATACCTGGACTCCATCCAAAAGTTTTGAGGATCTTTTTTCTGCCGGGGGGGAGGGAAGGGAAGGGAAGAGGTTGGGCATGGGGCTTGAACTCTGGGCCTGGGCACTGTCCCTCAGCTCTTCAGCTCAAGGCGAGCTCTTTACCACTTGAGCCACAGTGCCACTTCCGGTTTTCTGAGCGGTTTATTGGAGATAAGAGTCTCACAGACTTTTTCTGCCCTGGCTGGCTTTGAACTTTGATCCTCAGATTTCAGCCTCCTGAGTAGCTAGGATTACAGGTGTGAGCCACTGGCGCCCGACTTCTAAAGTTTTAACCAACTTTCATAGGGAAATAAGATCCATGATATGGTCACAGTTTCTAGTTAAAATTCTTTGTTTTAGCAAAATCGTGTGTGTGTGTGTGTGTGTGTGTGTGTGTGTGTGTGTGTGTGTGCGCGCGTGTGCGCGCGTGTGTGCATGTGCATGCACACTCACACACACTGATACTAAAGCTTGAAGTCAGGGCCTCTTGGTCTTGCTTGACTTTTTCAGTCAAGGCCAGTCCTACAATGTGAGCCAGAGCTACACTTATAGGTTTTGTTTTTTGCTAGTTAACTGGAGAGCAGAGCATCAAGGACTTTTCTCCTCTGGCTAGCTGGCTTTGTACCAGAACTCTCAGATGTCAGACTCCTGAGTAGCTAGAATTACAGGCATGGGCTACCAGGGTCTGGCTAATGTTGACATTTTGATAACCTCTACCACTCTGTATTGCCTACAAATTACAATGCTTGACGTGGAGTCAAGATATAAGTTGGAAAATTTGTTATCTGAGCAACTGATAGTTACTAGCATTAAACTAGCAGCCTTTCAATAAATACCAAGTAAGAATATATTTAGCCACTTGAGAAAACCTAATTTAAATTAATACAGTTCAGATGTAGACAGGATAGTTTCTTCATTGGATAATTGTATCCCTAAACTCTTTCTGACTTTTTATTTGCATATTAACATCCTGAGTTGAATAGCACAGAAACAAAACAAAATCTTTACTAGAATGATGAACACTTATCTATTAGATACAGGTTTTGCCCAGCTAGGGCTACACTGGCATAAGTGTGATTTAGATACTAACTTTAGGCAGATCTTTTAAAGAAACTACACAAACTAATCAAGTGTGTAAACCAGAACGTTGAATGTTGGCTTTTGCTTATTACAAGATGAGGAAAAGATTCAGAAATGAACAAACACTGCCATTTTAAAATAAAATGAGTTACAGTTAATGATTTCGGCTCTTTTTATGACTTCAACTAGGTATTACTCAGAAAGTGGAAATGTCATACTTTCATAAGACCTAAAGGAATTCATAGCTTTTCCCCCTTAATATCTCAAAATAAATAAATCAGTTATTTCTTTTTATCCTTTAAAGCCAGGCAGAAAAACTGATTTAAAATTTAACATCTGCAAAGTTAATACATTTGGATAATTATAAGAGTGTGGGAAAATTGGAAATCTTGCACTTTTAGCGATTTGAGAGTTCTAAGACACTGACAAGCATTTTTCTTTTTGGTCCATTACAAAAAAGAAAAAGTCCGAGAAAAGATGAGACCATTGTAATTGCAGGCAAATAAGGGTGCTTCAGACTGGAACTGATTCTCAGTTTCTGTCAGGAAGAAGATGGTCCTGTGAGCCAAAATACCATCCCAGGTACTCTTGAACAATGCCTTTTCCTACAGTAGCCTCTAAGCAATCATACTTTTGCACAGTGAAGTTCTTTGGGTGGTTGGGTATCATTTCTTCACTCCTGTCTTGTGGCAGACTCGGTAAAGTCAGCTGAGGAGCTCTATATTTGCAAGATAAAGAAAAAAAACAACATTGTTTAGTCTTTAGGAACCTTTAAATACAATTACACTATTCAACAGCTTAATAATTTTTTTTGTTGTTGTTGTTGGTTGTGGGGCTTGGGCCTGGGCACTGTCCCTCAGCTCTTCAGCTCAAGGCTAGCACTCTACCACTTGAGCCACAGAGCCACTTCTGGTTTTCTGGTGGTTAATTGGAGATAAGAGTCTCACAGACTTTCTTCTCCAGGCTGGCTTTGAACGCAATCCTCAGATGTCAGCCTCCTGAGTAGCTAGGATTACAGCCACCAGTGCCCGCTTTTAGTAATAATTTTTAAGTATATGGTGGAAGCAAAATAGACTTTCCTGATTTGATGAGAAAACATAAATCTTTTACAGGAGAATTGCTGAGCTAAGATAGGTACTTTGTTTGGGGCCCGCTTTTCTATCCCTTGCTTTATTTCTGGAGGCATTCCCTTCCCTCACATTTCACTTCCTGATGGTTGCAATGAAGTGTTAACTAAGCACTAAAAAGATGCAGGAGGCATACATACATTGGGACCCATCAGCTGCACTGGACATTGACCAAAATGAACTAAGCCACACAATGGCAGTGATGGGAGGGAGGAAACAAGTGGGAAAGAGGAACAGCTGATGCTATGCAAAACAAAAGAAATGTACACATCACCCAATGTGGAAGAAATAACTGTATCGCAAAGCTCATAGAACTCATAAATGTTATAGACCATGATAGACAATCTGCTCCATGAAAGTTAGAATGTGTTTGTGACTTTAACTAAGCATCACATTTGGGAAATTATGTAACCACTTAATCACAATAAAAATTTTGGAAAAACTAAAAAAAAAAAAAAAGATGCAGGAGGCAGGTGCTGGATGCTCAAACCTATCGTCCTAAGTAGGCAGGAGGCGAGATCTAATGATCAAGGTTAAAGCCAGCCTGGGTAGTAAAGTCTGTGAGACTCTTGTCTCCAATTAACTGCCAAAAAGCGAGAAATGGAGCTGTGGCTCAAGTGGTAGAGCACTAGCCTTGAGCAAAGAAGCTCATGGACAGCATTCAGGCTGAGTTCAAGCTTCAGGACTGGCACCAAAAATAAACAAACAAATAAATAAATGCAGGGGCTGGACACTCATGGCTCACACCTGCAATCCTAGCTAATCAAGGACCTGAGGATTACAGTTCAGAGCCAGCCCAGGCAAGAAAGTCTGTGAGACTCTTACCTCCAATTAACCACTATAAAGCTGGAAGTGTGCCTAGTGCTGGTGGCTTATGCCTGTAATCCTTGCTCTTCAGGAAGCTAAGATCTAAGGATCAATGGGTCAAAACCAGCTTGGGCAGGAAGGTCCATGACACTCTTAGCTCCAATTAGCCACTCAAAACCTGGAAGTGGCACTGTGGCTCAAAGTGGTTGAGTGCTAGCCTTGAGCAAAAGAGCTCAGGGACAGTGCCCAGGCCCTGAGTTCAAGCCCTACTACTACAAAAAAAGAAAAAAAGAAAGTCATCAGGGAAGGCCTGGCTTGATAACATGCATGATACTGGAAGAGAAACAGTTGAGGATGGAGGGTAAGTGTGGTGGAAGCCATAGTAGAGACTTAATAGGAACTGTAGCCTTGGGCTTGAGGTTTCTAGAGAACAGCTAGGTGAGTTCAAGTAGGCCATTGGCCAACCCAGTTCAGGTTCTTTTTTTTTTTTTTTTTTTAATTTAATTTTATTTTATTTGAGAACATACTGTACAGAGGGGTTACAATTACATGGGCAGGATAATGCATACATTTCTTACCAAGCATTGCAGCCTCCTCCTTTGTTTACTCTTCACCTCCCTTCCCAGCCTCCCCCCTCCCCCCACCCCCAGTTCAGGTTCTAAAGGAGGTGTTTGTAATAAGAGAGCACCACTCAGAAAAGCCTGGCATCACTGAAGCTAAGGAAGGGCACTAGATGAATGATTGAGATCAGGACTGAAGGGTGTTCACTGGATTCAGAAGAAAGGGGTGTTGAACATAGACAGGAGGAAAAGGAGCAGCTCCCCATTCAAGAAAATCTGTGAGGAGCTGGGAAGTTGGCTCAGTGGTAGAGCGCTTGCCTTGCATGCCTGAGGCCCTGGGTTCGATTCCTCAGCACCACATAAACAAAAAAGAAAAAAGCCGGAAGTGGCGCTGTGGCTCAAGTGGTAGAGTGCTAGCCTTGAGCTGAAGAGCTGAGGGACAGTGCCCAGGCCCAGAGTTCAGGCCCCACGACCGGACCCAAAAACAAAACAAAAAAAAAAAGAAAGAAAGAAAATCTGTGAGAACACAGGTTGATCACTAGAGGGCACTGTGCGACCATCCTGGCTTCACAATCCTGATTTTTTTCCGTGAGGAATTTACTTGTTGCAGAGTTGGAAGAGACTAGAAAGGGAAAGGCAAGGCAAGGGAAAAGCAAGGCAAGACAGTGCCTAAGGTGTTTGCCTAGCATGCGCTGAAGCACTGGGTTTCAGGAAGGCCGAGAAGAGAGAATCGGATGAGAAAGGCCAAGACAGGAGGACAGCTGCACAGAGTTGAAAGGCAGTGGTTTGGTCACGATGTCCCAGTAAGGAAGAGCAGCAGGAAGCAGAAAGACATCGTCAGTGCAGGTGAGGATGACAAGAGTAAATGAACATACAAATAAGCTCTTCATAGCCATTACCTCTGAGAAGTGAAAATGGGATCCAGTGGGAATTTTACTATTGACTTACGTTCTTATATGGTTAGAAATAAATGATGCCACACACACACACACACACACCTAGAGTGGCCAGGCGCTATAATCACGCCGGTAATCTTAGCTGCTCAGGAGGCTGAGATCTGAGGATCACTGTTCAAAGCCAGCCACTCTTATCTCCAATTAACCGCCAGAAAACTGGAAGTGGCGCTGTGGCTCAAGTGATAAGAGTGCTTGCCTTGAGCTGAAGAGCTGAGGGACAGTGCCCAGGCCCGGAGTTCAAGCCCCATGACTGACAAAAAAAAAAAAAAAAGCTAGTGTTGTTATTAATAGACTGTTATTAATAGGGCTGGTGGCTATCCAGTGCATATTTGTAAATAAAAGCATTGAAATATTGCAGTTGGAAGAGGAAAGTTACTAGAATCTTTTTTCTTTCTTTTTTAGCCAGTATTGGGGCTTGAAGTCAGGGCTTATGGGCTGTCCCTTGGCTTTTTTAACTCAAGGCTGGCACCTTACCACTTGAGCTCCTCCTTCTGGCTTTTTTGATGGTTAATTGGAGGAAAGAGTTTCATGGGCTACTATCCTGCCTGGGCTGGCTTCCAACCTCATTCCTCAATTCTCAGCCTCCTGAGTAGCTAGGATGACAAGGTGTGAGCCACTAGCGTGAAGGGAAAAAGGAATATATCAAGAACTTGCACTGTAACAGCTTGGCTTTTCTGTTTTATTTAATCAATTATATAAAATCATGCTAGGGTCACTGAGGAGCACACAGAGCTAGCTAAGGGAGAACAAGGGTAACGGCATCTGTGTAAATGACGTAATGGTCTAAAGAGGCTAAAGAGTTAATCCAGAAAATAGCCTAAGTCAGTTGTTTACTTTACCTGTCCTTTTAGTCTTGCTTGACTCTGATTCACAGAGCCACAAGCAGATTTTATCTAAAGCATGCAGAAGAGTGGAGAGAAATGAAAGGGAGGTTTTGCCTGAGAAGTCACTACTTAGGTTGACAGTGCCTTTGTTGCAAGACATAGAAAGTGTGAAAATTGTGCTATCAGATTTGAAGGTAGGACTTGTTATTGGTATTAGTGAGGCAAGCAAGACCTTGGGAAATTATCAGAAATGCTTATCTTACATGAGTTTGTCTAATAATCACTAGATCCCAACAGGTGACTTACACATTTGTCAGAGAATTGTAACTGGATGCAGAACTAGCCTAAACACTAAGAACATAAATGGACACTGTAACCTGAGCAGGTCTATAACGCTATCAGCTGACTTTCTTAACGGATTGTGCTTATTAACTAGCTTACATACCTTTCATTTAAATTTCCCTTGGATTACAAGGTCAGTTTATAGGTCAAAATTTCCCTTAATTCTGCCAAGTTGAATTTCACTACTCTGTCTGGTTTACTTGAAGCCCTGATTTTTTTTACGGTAGGGAATGTTTGGAGAAAGCCAAGGTAAATTGTGGCTACAAATTTGTGCTTGGATTTTGCAAAGGCATCTTGTTCTGTGCACACAGAATCTCTTGCTATTGTGAAATGCCACTAGGCTCTGCTTTGTTATTTACAAAAGAGGACTGGGGAAACCAGCATTTCTTCATTTCCCTTAAACCCAGATTTTACTGTTATTTTATACCAGGTGAAATTGAAAAGCTCAGCTGGAAACATTATCAACGCACACCAAAGGATATTTTAACATATTAGATCCCTTTCAAGCCTGCTTCAATCATGATTCATTAGCTCCTCAGGAGTCTTCTACTGTATCTTTCTAAATTTCTTCACCAAGCTTACTTTTCATAATTTTTAACAGCAAAGAGTAATTTGTTCCAGACACTGGCCTAAAACACTTGGCTTTTTGTCTCCTCCTGTGATAAATGCTTATTACCAAGTTGCTGTTCTCTAATTTCATTTCCTACTACAAGGTTTTCACTGGGGTTGAAAAGCATGTATTAAACAATAGGCATAGCAACCATTCTTTCCACCCATTGAATACAGCCATAAAGGCTACAAGTCTACAGACCAACTGAATAAGCTAATTTAGCAGATGCCTGTGTATGTTAACCAGCTGCAGGCCATTTCTGGTGTTTTCCTTGAAAGAATATATTTTTAAATGAACTAAAGGAATTAAAATAATTATGATGGGACATCAGATTATTTATTAGTAGTCATTATTTATTTATTTATTTTTCTTTTTTTTGGGTCCGGTCGTGGGGCCTGAACTCTGGGCCTGGGCACTGTCCCTCAGCTCTTCAGCTCAAGGCTAGTGCTTTACCACTTGAGCCACAGCGCCACTTCCAGCTTTTTTCTTTTTGCTTAGGTGGTGCTGAGGAATCGAACCTAGAGTCTCAGGCATGCAAGGCAAGCGCTGTACCACTGAGCCACCTTCCTAGCCCAGTATTCATTATTTATTAGTATTTATTAGTATTCATTGACACTCTGGGCAGCTATATTGATGAAGCAATATTACTGAAGATGGGTGGTAATGTGAAGTCATTGGTACTTTAGTGACTATAAAAAACAAAAATGGGTGTCTACCCATAATTTTATCTTGAAAGATACACCAGCAGACCACTACCGTTAGTGAGGCTGGAAAGCCCCCATGCCACTGGGACCGAGTTGATTTGCTACACTGAACATGGAAGTAGGCTGGCCTACCATTATGGCACCATTGCATAAATGTGTCTCAATGAGAAATGTGTTTGTTCTGGTTAACATCTGCAGCTTTCAGTGTTTTCCCAAACACATGCTTAAAGATACTTTAAAAATTCTGTTGCTTGATATTTTAATTATGAGAATTCTCAAGCATATACAATAATATTATTTCCCACTGAGCTATCACTTAGATTCAATGGTGACCAGGATTTTTCTTGTCTGTCTTACTTTCTTCCCAAACCGTAGAAGCAATTCCCAAACGCCATATCATTTCGCACTGCCACTCATGACCATGCAGCTTCTAAAGATTTATATCACCGCATGCCATTTGTACATATTGCTAAATAGGAATGAGCATTTTTTGGTATAGCTAATTCCAATAGAGGAAGAATCTTCTGCCAGAAATACCTCAGGGGAAAGGTACTCGTGAGTGAAGAGGTATACATCGCCTCTGAAGGCAGCTGTGTCTATGCAGTTTTCTTCTCAGGACCAAATTAGCTGAAAAGAAAGAAAGGAAAATATTAGGAGTGCTTACAAAATTAATGACTATGCTATCTAGAGGGAGATTGTGGTCATAGTACTTTGTATAAATGTATAACAGTGATGGCTACTGAAATCCTTTTAAGAAGGGTAAGGGAGACAAGGGAGAGAGATGGATGGGTGATTTTGTTGGGATACATTGTATTCATGGGAATGTCGAAGTGAAATTTCCCCTTGACAGCTAATAAATGCTAATAAAAACAAAAAATATTGGAGTATATTTGTAACTAAACTGTGCTGTGGCTATTTCCTATTTGTTCATCCATTGTTATGATACAAAAGTTAATGTGATGTACTCCTAACAGTTAATGCTAGGATCAAGATCTTAATTGTCATAGCCTGCTTACAAGATTGCTTCTAAATGCTGTTCGCACTTTTATTTATGTTAGAAGTTGATTCCAGATATCTTACAAGAATATTGCCCAAGGTTTCTGTATTTTGGAAAAATGTAAATGGTTGAGTAGCAATTATTGTAAACAACACAAGAAGGAATTGCTGACTTGGAACTCTTTTCTTTTCTATGCTAAAGGATGGATCAGGGAGCGTCACTTGAAAAAACCTGAGAGCAACCAAACTTCCCATGAATTAGAAGGAAAAAAGTTATGCACCACATGTTTATCTGACAGAAGAAGTTGTATTATCAAGGAAATAATGTGACAAATTAGGATGTGTGAACACTTTTCTATTCAAACTTAGGTTTTTGTGTGGCAGAAATCTTTACCTTTCAAAATCTTTTTGTTGTTGTTGTGCTGGTCCTAGAGCTTGAACTCAGGGCCTGGGCACTCAGGTCCCTGAGCATTTGTGCTGAAGGCTAGTATTCTGCCACTTTAAGCCATGCCTTCATTTCTGGCTTTTTTTTTTTTTTTAATAATTAATTGGAGATAAGAGTTTCATGAACTTTTCTTGCCCAGGCTGGCTTTGAACTGCAATCTTCAGATCTTAGCCTCTAGAGTAACTTGTATTACAGGTGTGAGCCACTGGCATAACTTTCAAATTCTTTTATTTACCAGGGCTTTGAAATCTTAGGCCCTTGGCTCTGAAGTAAAAGCACATTAGAGTAATTTTGTCTCCTAACTCTGTTGGTTAAATACATCATAGTTGATACCATCCTTGAAAAATATGCTACCCACACAAATTGCTATGTATCTTGACCATGCTTATTTTTGGTTCTATGGGCATCCATAGTTTAGATTATATAGTTCTATAGAAATCTCTCAGGCTGGGGAAGTAGCTCAAGTGGTAGAGTGCTAGTAGCCTTGAGCAAAAGAAGCTCGAGGACAGTTCCCAGGCCCTGAATTCAAGCCCCAGGACTGGGAAAGAAAGAAAGAGAGAAAGAAAAGCAAGGAAGGAAGGAAGGAAGGCAGGCATCTCTTCCCTGCCCTCTGGGCCGGGACTTTAACTCAGGTTCTGGGTGCTGTTCCTGAACTTTTCCACTGAGCACTCTACTGCTTGAGCCACAGTAGCGTTTCCAGCTTTTTGGTGGTTAATCAGAGAAGAGTCTCCAAGACTTTCCTACCTGGCTTCAAGCTGCGATCCTCAGATCTCAGCTTCCGGAGCAACTAGGATTCCAGGCGCCCAGCAAGAAATAGCAACTTTTGACTCACTTTGAGTCATTATGTTTCTTTCACAATTCTGCTAACATTGTCTTCCTCCAGTCAGCCACAAGCTTTTAATAAACTGATTTGGATTTTACATTTCACCTAACTGTCTATAGGTTTATTAACTCTTTAATCAATAAACCAACATTTGCATTTCTTATAACTTGCAAGGACAATGTATCTACAATTGCTTAGAGCACTACCTTTCTTAGTAAAATATTACTCTCTCTCCATATATATACGTATATCAATATTTTAAAATGCAGTGATTAAAAGTACTCGAATAATAATACCCTCCCAGAAGATAGATAGCAAACTTGTGAAATCAGACACATTTCTAATAACTGCCCCTCACCTCAGTAACTTTCAGTATAAACAGCAATCACACTCAACACAACCAGGCGTAAAAAGAAGTCATTCGGTCCAAGATGTACCAGAGTCCTACCTGGTCTCTGTCCGGTGGTAAGGAGGAGACTCATCATAAAAACCAAAAAGACACAAAGAAGTTGTTGAAATCTCATTTTTTTCTTTCCTGACACACTCCAAGACAGCCAGAACTCCGGAGAGCAACAAGCAATCTGTACGCGGCTTGTGCAGGATCTGTGCGGGGCGCCTCACATTCTAACCAACCTCGGCTGCGTTTTCCAGAAAGGTTAATGATCACATCAGACAAGGTTACTGGGGCGCTGGGCTGTGGTCAAAGCCCACGGGGCCGCAAACCCCTCCTCCACCCTCCGCTCCTCTCCCTGTCCCTCCCCTTTATTTCCATAAGCAAATATTGGTGAAATGGACCATTCAAGCCCAGGGGAGAGTGACTTCACTTCAACCTGGAGCTGGAGAAATATGTAAAATAAGTCCTGACATTGCCTCCTCCCCTCACCATTTGCATCTGTTTAAACTTTGCATTGCCCATATTGGTCCCACATGCTGAAACCTTGGAATGACAGGAAGTCTCTCTTTTGTCCTTTCACAGAGAATTCTGAAGCGCTTAACTCAAGACTCCCAAACATGTGCCGAAATGCTTGATCTTTACCAAACCTACTACAAAGGGGTGACTATTTACGGGAATCCCCTAAATGGCTGAATGTGTGTGGAGTTTGCACCATTAAAAGATTCCTGGGGGCTGGGAAGGGGGTTAGCATGTCTGAAATAAATCTGTAAAATGCTTATATTTGTATTTTATTAAGTGCAATATTTTTTTCAGTAATGGAGATTATTTTCAGCTGCAAGCAGCTGATTCTTTTTAAAAGAAAATTCAGGCACACCACAAACCCTGGAAATCTGTGTTCAGTTATAAATTTGTATGGGGTGGAAAACCAAAAATTAGAGAAGTGTTCCGTTCATTTCCAGGGAATTCAGTAGAAACAAAAACAGTCTAGTCTTGTCTTTGACACACAGCCACCAAGATCTCTTTTGTCATAAGCGCTTCCTTATCTATAATACATAGCTATTACAAATGCACTTATTCTGTACTTATTGTGAAGTGAGCGGAAAGTTAGTGTAGCTACACTGTGACATACACATTTCCAAATCTAAAGCATATGGAACTCTAGGACTGCCAGGAATTGTTTTGTATATGGCTTCTTTAGGTTCAGGTAGTTGGTCTACAATCTTGAAATATGAACTATTGGTCTTGATTTGATATCAGTCTGTAAAATTTTCTTGCAATCCAGTTATACCTGCACTTTTTTTTTTTTTTTTGGATCTGGTCCTGGGGCCTGAACTCTGGGCCCGGGCGCTGTCCCTCAGCTCTTCAGCTCAAGGCTAGCACTCTACCACTTGAGCCACAGTGCCACTTCCGGCTTTTTCTCTTTGCTTATGTGGTGCTGAGGAATTGAAACCAGGGCCTCAGGCATGCAAGGCAAGCGCTCTACCACTGAGCCACCTTCCCAGCCCGTACCTGCACTTTTTAATAGGCAGACTACAGAAATTGTGACATCTTTAGAAATCAGCTGGAGCTGGGTGCTGGTGGCTCACTCCTGTAATCCTGCCGTTTGGGAAGCTGAGATGTGAGGATCGTGGTTCAAAGCCAGCCCAGGAAGGAAAGTCCATGAGACTCAACTCCAATAAACCACTAGAAAACTGGAAATGGTGCTGTGACTCAAGTGGTAGAGTGCTAGCTTTGAGCTGAAGAGCTGAGGGACAGCACCCAGGCAAGCCCCACAACCAACAAAAAGAAAAAAAGAAAGAAATCACAGCTAGGCATGCTTATGCCTGTAATCCTAGCTACTTAGGAAAGTTGAGATCTAAGGATCATGGTTTGAAGCCAACCTTGGAAAGAAAGTCCATGTATCTCTTATCTCCGATTAACCACAAAAAGCTGGAAGTGGAGTTGTGGCTCAAATGATAGAACACTAGCCTTGAGAAAGAAAAAGTTCAGGACAGTGCCCAGGCCCCGAGTTCTAGGCCCAGAAGAGGTTAAAAAATAAAAAAGCACTCTCAGTTATTCTATCAACCCTACTAAGGTCCAAATTTTGGTTCTTATTTAAGAACTAGCCTATTGAAGCTAAAAGTAAGAATAATTTAGCAATACAGTTCTCAGGATAGGTTGAATAGTGTCCACCAAAATTCATGAGATCAGTCTGGAATTCAGGGGTGGAACTCAAATACTCTTTCTTGGAGTAGGGTCATCATAGAAATAACTAGTTAAAATGGAAGTCACACGTGAGTAGGGTGTCTCCAGGTCTAACAGGACAGCTGTCCTTATAAGAAAAGGAGAGGAGATAGAGTCACGGTATCCCAAAGGGACACCCTCAGGGGACAGAGACACCGGTTGGCATATGATGCTGTAAACCAAGAAAGGAGTACCAAGTATGCCAACAGCCACCAGAAGCTAGGGCAGAGACATGGAACAGTCTCCTCAGCCCTCAGAGAAGTCAGTTCTACTGACATCTTGATGTTTTGGACTTCCTTTCTACTGACCTAGAATATAGTAAATGACTTGTGATGCTTTGTTCTAGTAGTCTTAGGACACCAATGCATTTGAATGTATACATATTCAGCAGGTATGCATATTTTCTATACAATTTAATTAGGTATATTTATTTTACATCAGAATACTGTGTATCAAGGCAAATAAAAATATTTACACATCATAATCAAAGAAATTTCATCTCCATTTTTATTTTTTATTTTTTTTGGGTCCGGTCATGGGGCCTGAATTCTGGGCCTGGGCGCTGTCCCTCAGCTCTTCAGCTCAAGGTTAGCGCTCTACCACTTGAGCCACAGCGCCACTTTGGCTTTTTTTCTTTTTGCTTATGTGGTGCTGAGGAATCAAACCCAGGGCCTCACGCATGTAAGGGCAAGCACCCTACCACTGAGCCACCTTCCCAGCCCCTCATCTCCATTTTTATAGATGAGGTAAAATTTATTTTCTTAAACAGGCGTGAAGTTAAGCGACTTGCCATGGTGAATCTCTTATCCAGTGTTCACCACTCTATAGAAATGGGCATGTCTCAAGTAAAATCATTAAACTTTGTGTGTGTGTTCGTGCGTGTGTGTGTGTGTGTGTGTGTGTGTGTGTGTGTCCTACTCTTATGGTTTGAACTTGGGGCCTAGAATGCTATTCCTGAGCTTTTGTGCTTGAGGCTAGTGCTCTACCACTTGAGCCACAGCTCTATTTCCTTTTTTTTTCTGGTTGTGAGGCTTGAACTCAGGGCCTGGGCACTGTCCCTGAACTTTTGCACTCAAGGGTAACACTCTACCACTTTGAGCCACAGTGCCACTTCAGTTTGCTGGTGGTTAACTGGAGTCTCATGAACTTCCTTGCCTGGGCTGGCTTCAAACCACAATCCTCAGAGCTCAGCCTCTTGAATAGCTAGGATTACAGGCCTGAGCCACTGATGCCTGGACATTTTTTTAAAGTAAAAATGCCACTGAAAATTTAAGGTATTGATAAAAAAAAATTATAAATAGTTGTACATAGGGGTTCAAATCATATCAATTTAGGAATACAGTGCATCTTTTTATTTTTTTTAAAAATCAATACTGGGGCTTGAACTCAGAACCTGGACACTGTCCTTTAGCGTTTTCACTCAAGGCTGACCTTCTACTACTTGAACTCCACTTCCAGCTTTTGTTGATTAATTGTAGATAAATGTTTCATGGACCTTCTTGCCCTGACTGGCGTCAAACTGTGGTCCTCAGATCTTAGCCTCCTGAATAGCTACAATAACAGGCATCAGCAACAGGTGAGTGTCCAGCTTGTACAATGCATCTTTATCAGTATGACCCCTTCCATCTCTCCCAACCCCATTCATCCCTTTGAGTTAGTTCTATTTTCATATAAACACATTGAGTATTATGATTGTATTTATCGCCTATTGCTTTTTAATGTGAAATATTAGTAGGATCACTTCTCTTCCATTGAATACATTTTTTATTTGAATTTGTTCCTCATTAGAAAACCATGTAAAGATCATCAATTTCCTTTTAATGTACCAAAATAACAAAGAGTCTTATTGATGCCATTTGGTCTGTAGCCTTGGTAATAATCACCTGCATATATTGCTCCCTCTGACAAAGTTGAGCATCGGTTACACTGGTGACCATGTTGTTTTTTCAGGTTTGCCAGACATTGGAGGATTAGGAAGACATCCACATTCTCAAAAGTGTGTGCCTTTTTTGGAGTTATGGGTTCTTATGAAAATATATGTTTTGGCTCAGATAGTAGCTTGATGCGGCATTTATGATCAGTAATGTTTTTTCAACCAGCACATGTGCCCAAGAAGACCCTGGGAAAATTTCTGAGTATTATACTAAGTATTTTACCACACCCAATAGTCTAATTTTATACATTTGATATCTCCAACATGTCTAATTCGCCATTTCCTCTATAAAGGGAGAATGCCAATTTTGGTCACATGAATTTTTGAAACTAGTCATTTCTTATTTAGGATGATTTAACTTCTATAAGTATAGTTATTAGCTCTCTCCTTAGTGCTAATTTGGAACTTAAGAATAACAATAGATAGCCAGGTAGGCTTAAGACAATCAATGTAGGGAATGACAACTAAAAGGCATTGTATTGGTCTAGACCAGGAAATGGTCAAAATAAAACCAAGGGTCAAAGTAAAAAAAAAATTCAAAAGTTAGGTCTTTCAATATAGTACCCTAAAGTGCCAAGAGTCAGAAAGTAGAGAAATGAAAAGAAATGGAGTGCCAGAAAGAAATAAGGCCCCAGACAGACACCTGAAGCAAGGGTATCTTAATTGTACAGGTCAGAATTGACCAGCCGGCTCAAGCAATCAGGAATCCAATTGGATACACTCTTGGGAAGATCCACTCTAAATCCCATTCTGTGCCCACCAGGATTGGTTTTAAGTGTTTCCATCTGTGAACAGGAGCTAATCCCACCAGAGAGAGAGAGAGAGAGAGAGAGAGAGAGGAGAGACAGAAAGAGAGAGAAAATCCAATTCACTATACTACTATACTTGGAGTGGAATTTCACCAATTCATTACTTCAACAAAAATATACTGAAAACACACAGTGGAGAAAACAAAAATTCCTACTTTCTTGCGTAGTCTACTTCCTATAGAGGCATGCAAATCATGGGGACCATAGTCACAAAGGAACACAGCTTTTCAGATTTGAAAGGTAGCCTATCTTTACTTAGGCCAAGCTGCATAAATTGCTATCCTGAGACCTTGCTGTGGTTTTTTTTTAATCTTTATCACATGTCTCTTTATTTTTATCTCATTTCACGTCTGGAGCTGTTGTGGCTCTACATTCTCACCCGCACATTCTTAAAAT